GATGAGATGACTGGCTCTGTGGATGCCTTGATTTTATCAAGGCTTTTCATATGGTTTCTCACAACATTCTCACAGGCAAGCTAAGGAAGGCTGGATGAATGGAGTGTAAGGTGGGTAGAAAACTGGGTGCCTGATATCAGGTAATTCAGGATGGGAGGGGTAGCTGGGGAATTGGGAATCCGGCAGGCTGGAGGGGATCAGGGGTCAGGCACAACCCACGGGTGGGGTGGGCATGACCTGTGAGGGGTGAAGGGAAGGAGGTGTGACCCACAGATGCGGTGGGGGGGGGTGTCCCCCAGCAAAATTACCCCACCATCCCTCCCACCCCTTCCCCCACTGGGAGTTACTTACTTGGCTCCAGCAGCGGCAAACGCTAATAAAAGCAGCTGCACCTAGAATGGCTTGAGGGATGGGGGTCTGAGGGCTGGCTGGGTGGAGGAGCAAAAAATAGACCAGCGTGGGGGAAGGATGGGGGGGCAGGGGGGAGTGGAAAGAAAAAAAAAAAAAAAAAAAGCAGGCCTGGGGCTGGGTTTTCCTAGCTCCAGGACTGCACAGGGCACGAGGGACAGAAATTCCATGCACTGGTTTTGACCTAAATCAAGTTAAGCCTGATACTACATGGATCCAGGTCTACCTTAACTAGGTTTTGCAATTTTTTAACCCGTTTCTGTGCATACAATTTCTATTTTGTTACAGGTTTAGACTGATTGCCAGTCACTGAGACCAGGTCTGAAAGTGTAAAGTCAGCACTAGAATTAGCCAAGTTTAAAACTGAGCAGCCATTTTGACCTGATTTAACCTCTCAAACATCTGTTCTTAGCCTTGAAGTTAAAAAGGTAGACTAGACTGAAGAGGAAAACTAAATGAAATCATTATTCATCACCTTCTGGCCTAATCAAAAGGGAACACCTCTTCCCACCCCCTCACCCCCAGCTTCTGCCTTCATTTCCTCTACTTCTAACTAAACCACCTCAACCCTACGCTCTGTAGAAATCAGTCCTTGAATTGCCCCCCTTCACTTTTGATTAATACTTTTAGTAGAAGAACACATGCCAATGAACTACTTTCCTAACTATTCTCTATTGCTATTCCTACTGAGTGATAACTAACTTCCAGGCTTACAGCCATGCTGCCAGCTTTGGCTTCACTCGTCCCTTATGTACTTTTAAATTCCGTGGTATTTTGGAAAAAGAAGGGGCAGGGCTAAATACAGCTTGTTCTTTAAAAAAAAAAAAGGGGGAAAAAAATCCAACATTTAAGAACACACTTCTTAATGTTGTGTTACTAACAATATGATTCTTAACATGACATTAACCTCAATAAGCTATGCATGTACTCTACACCCATGCCAGTGCAGACAGGCCATTTCTATCTAGTAGTTTTTCCACTGTCAAGAGCAATCCCTAATCTACACTACTCATGTGATTCCTAGCTCTTAGCTTCAGTCCATAAAGATAAGCAACTAAAATTTCTTGGGGGGGAGGGGGAACGACAACAAAAACATGAGACAAACTGATTACCTATCCAACCCTCTTTCTTAAAACCACAAAGCAGAAAAACACCACTAGATATCACATAGGCTTCCAGCTGCCTTTTCATTTACAAACTTCAAGGAAGTTCATTTATCAAATACAAAATGAATGCCATTTCTTCAATTGTTTCAGCATACATTGCATCTTTTATTTATTTATTTTTTTAAGGAGAGGGGGAAAAGCATTACAAAACATGCACTGTGCCTAAGGAATGCTTTGGTGGGAGGAGCACTACAAAATACAAACACAGGTCAGTGGTATTTAATGAAATTTGAATGATGTAGGGCATAGCCATAAGACACACGTGAGGTCACAATGATTAGTTACTTTTGTGAAGTGTTCCACCTTTCCCTCTTTTAACTTCACTTTGGCAATATTTGGAAGAGTATGCATGTCGGCTTTCTCAGAGTCTGAAGAGTACAGGATAGTTCAAGGAACCTCATTTAAAACAGTTCTCAGCAAAGGAACTCAAAGTGTTTTTATGAAGGTGGGCAAGTATCAACTTACACGTTGCAGATCAAGAAACAAAAAAGTTGAGTGCTTTCTTCAAAGGCACAGGATGAGTCCGAGGCAAATACATACATCTACCAATTCTCACTTTAGTAGATTCATAGATTGTAGAGTCAGAGGGGACCACAAAGGGTCATCGTGTCCAACCCCCTGCCCCTGGCAGTAAAGAGGACCGAGGTCAGATGACCCCAGCCAGGTACCTATCAAGCCTCCTCTTGAAGACCTCCAAGTTAGGTGATAATACCACCTCTCTTGGAAACCCATTCCAGATTCTGGCCACCCTTACTGTAAAAAATGTCTTCCTAATGTGCAACCTGAATCTACTCTCCACTAGTTTGCACCCATTATTCCTAGTTACTCCTACAGGTGCTCTGGTAAATAGCACATCTCCATTCCTTGTTGTCCTCCCTCGATAAACTTATAGGCGGCTACAAGGTCTCCCCTCAGCCATCTCTTGTGAAGGCTGAAGAGATCCAGACCCCTCAACCTCCCCTCGTAGCATCTTTCTCAGAGGCCACTAATCTTGTGAGTGGCCCTCCTCTGAACCCTCTCCAGATTCACCATGCCCCTACTGAAGTGCAGCGCCCAACGCTGGACACAGTACTCCAACTGCGGCCTGACCAACACTACATAGAGGGGGAGCATCACCTCCCTCAATCTGATGGTCATGCACCTGCTAATGCACAAGGTGCGACTGGCCTTGTTGATGGCTTTGTTACACTGCCGGCTCACGTTCATCTTGGAGTCATAGTTGACTCCAAGATCCCTCTCAGTCATTGAGCTGCCAAAGAGCTCATCCCCCAACCTATAGGTATGCTGGGGATTCCTCCTCCCTAGGTGGAGTACCTTACATTTATCCTTGTTGGACTGCATCCTATTTCGTTCTGCCCATTGGTCCAACCTGTCCAGATCAGCCTGTATCTGCTCCCTGCCCTCTGGTGTGTTAGCTTTGCCCCATACCTGGGTATCATCTGCGAACTTGGAAAGGGTGCTCTCCACACCCTCGTTCAAATTGCTGAAGATATTAAACAACACTAGTCCAAGGACTGATCCCTGTGGGACTCCAATGCCTGCCTCCTTCCAGGCCGAGAACGACCTATCCACCACCACTCTCTGGGTGCAGTCCCTAAGCCAGTTGGCCACCCACCTGACTGTGTAAGCATCCACTCCACAGAATATGCATGGGACACTTTTTTAGCCTATGGCTAGACAGTTACTACTGGTTTCAAGCCTTTTTATATAGAGCATGTAAAACTTGCAAGCTTTCATTTCTCATCTTGTTATTTGAAAGCCTTAAGCCTCTGTTTGAGACATTTTTTTAGGTCTTAGCAAAGGACGCAAGATATGTAGTGATGTAGTCCATTCAGTGACATTATCAAATGGCAAGAGATGAGGCTTGTATTAGTTTAATAACCTTAGGTGGATCTAGACCAGGGGTGGGCAAAATACAGCCCGTGGGACTGGATCCATCCCAAGAGATTTTATTACCTGTGATGATGGGTCCCTTGGTTCTGTGTGGCCTAGGTGCAGGGGCAGCCCAAGCCATTGTGTATGTGACCAGAACTGTCACCCCCAGGTATGCAGTGGGGCTAGGGCAGTACAGCAGCTGAACTCAGTTTACCACCAGCCCTGGCAGCAGCAACTCCTTCCAGCTGCTGCTGCCAGCATTGCCACCACTGCTGAATCCATCCCTGTTGCCCAGGCACCCTGGCCCATCTGCCCCAGACCCACCACCAGGAGTGCTGGAAGGATTAGAAGGAGCTGTAGGCATGAGGGGAGTGGCATCC